GCGTTCATATTCCGCCACTTCTCTATTCAATTTCGAGTTCAATTCTTTGAACTAAAAAGGGTCATGTCAGTCCGAGGGTAAAACCAAAGCCCGGATGAAGCTACCCACATTCTCGTCATGATCTCCCCAAACATTATGCGTCAGTTCATGACAAAGTACCTTCCTAACCTCACTATACAACCGGAACCCATCATAAGCATTGGTCCGTAACCGAAGTTTAATCTGTTGGCCTTTATTCACGTTTAACCCAAGCAGTTGTGGGTGTTCATGTGGTGCAAGCTCCGTCAACACACCCACAGAAAATTCGTGCTTTTGCATGACATGAAGGATAGCTGGGTCTTCGGATAATTTCCTCAGGAGGTCCAAAGCGGAATCGGGGTTTGGTAGATGTGGAAGGGGTACTAGTTGATGGAAGCGAGAGGTAAGGTTGGGTATATCATCGAACGTTGTGATGTTTGAACTTGAAGTCGATGGCCCCGTCGAGCGAAGCTACAGAACGAAATGGTGAGTTGCGTCTCGGGAATATCGAAGTCCATTCGCTCACCTTGACTTGTGGTTTGAGTGCACGTTCCCTCAATATCCTATCCTTCTTCCTTTGCGCATCCTCTGCATTCATCAAACTCTCAACTTCGGCGTTGGTAGATCCCAACATTTGCACCTTCACCCCATTCTTCAAACCAACTTGCAAGATCGTAATTTCATTTGGATCATCGCTCGTAGCTTTCTTTCCTCTGAACAGCAGCTTTTGCAAGGATGGCGGAACGGAAGTTAGTTCCTCAAGCTGGAGTTGTAATGCATGTAGAGTGCTATCTGGGAGGAGGGAAAGTGGATAGGATTTGCCTCGATAGGAGACGGTGATATCGACAGTCTTCTCGGCGCTCGTCATGAGGGGAAGTTGCAAAGTTACAGGATGGCAATCCGGCGCTGTACTTGTACTGGACGGTCTTCAAGGGTGTTCGGCGTGGTGAGTAAGCATTCGATGTTGTCTTCATCATCATGCCGCGGCTCAAGTGACCCAGTTTCCCATTTCAGCCAGACTTCTCGTTTTGGTCATTACTTAGCGCCCTTGACTTACCCATGCACACACCCCTCCACGATCTCATCAAGTCATCTCTATCAAACAGATAGCACAAAGTCCGCGTACTTTATCCGCCCCCTGCAAAATCGTCTAATTGATCGTTAAACACACCCATCGGTTGTGATATCCACGACATTCGTTTTATCGTCACCATCGCAAAGGCCTTCTAGATCTCCTCGTGCTCGGTGCTTCCACTTGTTTCTATCGCTTTTTTTTGCTCTCTGGAAGAGAACGGTCAGGGCTCGCAGTGAACGATATATATTACGGGAAATATGGCTAGCTCCAAACGACCTCGTACACCATCGCGTCGATCTTCGGAGAATATATCTTCTCCAGATTCTCAGGCGCCTACACACAAAGCCTCAAGGACCAGTGCAAGTCCTGGGCCTACACTAGGACCGACGAATGGCGGAACCAAAGGATTTCAACCGGTACAAGAACACAGTGACGAAACACAGGTGCAACAAGGGACTCCACAACACCCTTTGTTGTGTACATTACCACCAACATGTAATCGAAAACCTACACCACTGGAGAATTCAAGGGATCTAGAAGCTCATTATGCAAAGTATCATGCTCATGTGTGCGAAGAACGGGGATGTGGATGTGTGTTCCCTGATGAGAGGTTATTGGAATTGGTGAGTATGGTTGGTGTGCGAATTGGATATCGAATGATGGAAACCGTTGTTTGTTTTCTTTTTAGCATCAAACGGAGTGTCATGATCCCCTTGCTGCGGTTCGAAAGGATCGGGGAGATAAGATTGTAAGAGAACATTGTTCTTTTTAATGTGCCTTGCACCCTTGATTGACAATGTTACCAAGTTTGAATGTCACCAACAGACTTGTGGACGGTTCTTCCAAACGCCGAAAGCAAGGAGACTACATCTTATTCAAGGGCATGGATATCCGAAAGAATATTTCTTTGCGGTGACAAATAAAGGAATTGGAGGTCTGTTGAAGAAATGGGGAGACGGTGCAAGTATGATCCGGAGGGAATGGAAACCAAGATCGGAGAAGGGGGGCAAGGAAGATGAAGATCGGATGGATGAAGACCATGAGGGTAGCGGATCAGACGAAGAAGACAATGAATCAGAGGCGAGCGAAGCAACTGCGAACAACAAGACCGTGGCATCGACACGAAAGGCGACGACGAACGCAATGGAGACGGATGAGGTGGATGGGTTGGTGAATTCACTGGATTCGCTAAGTCTTGTTCCAACACATGTGAGGTTCGGCAGGGGTGGGAAGGCGAGTGGCTTTGTTGGACATAATAATCACAATAACAATACAAGGGCACGAGGAGGAGGAAGAGGCGGAACAAGGGGACAACAACGCGGTGGAGGAAGAGGGGGTGGGGGGTATGGAGGCGGACAGGTGATGGACGTGGATGTGGGACCCGGACCGGGCCTCGGATGGGCGTCTCGAGGGCGCGCGGGTGTTGTTGGAGTGGCAGGGCGTGGACGTGGCGGCCGGGGTGGACGGGCAAGAGGCAGCTGAGGGGTTTGGCGAGGAACAATAGGTTGTTGATGTTTGTTTGTACGCGGTTCGGTATAAGAGCAGCTGAATGGCACGCATTCAAGGCAGTCTGCTATTGTCCGGTTTGTGATATAATCTGCGCTGCAGTTGGTGGTTTGTCCAGCATCCCCAACTCTGAGCTAGTCTCGTCTGGTGTGTTCTGCCCGCCCACGTCTTTTCTTGCGTTCTTCATCCTCTCGGCACTTTCCGTTGTATTTCCCTTTTTGGTCACTCATGTCCTACCCATTCCTCGCCAACCCACCTCCCCAGAAGAAGCGCCCCACTCAGCCTCTTCCCCCTACTCCTACTCAGCCCGTCGTCGTCCAGCCTCGTCGCCGCTCAAACACCTATGCAGCCATCGCCAACTGGGCCTCCCATGTCCAACCTGGCTCGCCCGGGTCTCCCAAGCGCAGGCCTTCGGTCACGAGCAGTCGTCGACCTTCTCTTACGCGTCGCCGTCCTTCTATTACTCACATCCGCGTCACCTCCAACTCTGGCACTTCCTACATTAATGTCATTGATACCCCAATCACTGGAACTCAACCAACTCCCTCTGCCCAGGAATTCGACCTCACCACCCTTGGCTATACCTCCGTCTTTGTTCACCTCCCCAAAACCCCTGCTACTCCTGCCAAGTTCAAGAGCATAAAGTCCGCTGCTGCTCCTGTCAACCCCATTACCATCCCCGTCCCACATATGCCGCCTTCACCTCAACAAACCAAGCCTCGGATCGTGAAGCGTTTCCGCTCCTTGTCCATCCTTCGTCCTCGAGGAAGGGCAAAGTCCTCTGCTGCCTTGCCTACATCACCAAGGACCCCCAAGTCCGCTGCATCCAAAGCCAAAGCCGAGATTTGCGCGGTTAACATCGCAAGGCGGAATAAGGCCAAATACGCTTACCTCCGTCCTGCTCCCCTCGCCAACGAACTTGCTTTAATGCAATTCGCTGATGGCGGGAAGATGGAATCTCATGTAAAGCGTGTCATGGAGACTCAAGCAAAAGCTGCTGGTGGATCGTCTGGTCCTGCTGGTGTCGCTGATGTCTACCGTGATGCTAATGGTGCTGTTTGGTGGGACCAAGAAGAAGAATGGGAATACGCTCATCTTCTGGGTGGTGAACAAGCAGATGGTACTATGGCGGATGAAGAGATGGAATGGGTTCAATTTGGTGTTGAACCTGACGTGAAGGAGGGTGATCGTGATCCTACTGCTATCGCCAGTCTGGCTGTCGATGATCGACGTGGTAGTGTGGATTCGGATTTGAACCCAGAGTTCATCATGCGACCAGAGGATATGAACGACGATCTAGCTCCTTTCGGTGGTGCAACCACCTCAAGGAAACCTGGAATGTCAGTTCTCGCTATCCCCTCTCGACCTCGTCGTGCTGCCAAACACCTTCGCAAACCCGAATTCATCATCGATGTTGCGGCGTTTGCACCTCGTTCACCAAGGAGTCCAACCAAGTTCGTAACTTCGACTTTGACGAGCCCCCTTGTGGCTACTTTTAGTCATAGGAAGCAACGTGGAAAGGCAAGGAGACGACCTGCTCCTGCACCTTTGAAGTTGAGTCCTCCTGAGCCATCGCATAGAAGACCAACGAATTCTCCGGCGGATTTGAGGAGGGACTTTTTGGATGCTTCGTTTGCGCCTGTTGTTCTACCAACTCTCCCTATGATGGAGATGAAGCCGCCGAGAAAGCAACAGTCCAAGTTGAATATGAAGGCTCTCTTCAAGAGGAAAGATACGAACTAGGATTCCCTCCCCTCATCATCCCTTTCCCGATGCGATTCCCCCCAATAATTCCGAGCACTTCTTTACGTGCCCGCCTTTTAAACGGCCTGGCGTCCTTTCTTTGATTTCACTACACGACAAAAACCTTCTGATGATATCATACATCTCTCTGCTAATAATCTCTCTCTTGAGTTTCTTTCTTCTTGGTTCACGATTTCCTTCTCTCACTATAACCCCCTTGTATCGTTAAGCACACCAACGAACCGCTCGTACATACCCCTCATCTTGTTTGTTATCTTGTTTTTTGTTACCAACACACCCCACGCTCACGTACGCGCACATGAACGGACATCATTGTACCAACTAATTGATCCATTTACTTAACGAAAAAGTTTCTTATAGCCATCATTCCTCGTTCATGTTTACACGCTGGCTAGCTAGTCCTAGCATCCACCGCATATACACATCACCCTCTGTACATTGTATATGATGTACACACATCTTGTTATATTATACAGTAGCATATTGCAATTCTAGCTCCTAATTATTTTGTGTTCTTGCATATTCTCTTGAGTGAGGACTCCCAGCATGCACAATAAATCGACGAATACTCCAGCAAGCAGTCTGACGGGACCCAGCCGCAGTCGATCTGGCATTTACATTCCTTCACAAAAACATGTGCCCCATGGCTGAGTTGGTTACAGCGTCCGACTGTTACTGCGCGATTCTGCGAGTGTGTGTACACATACTTGTCGGGTCGCTCTGCTCATCGGAAGGTCGTGAGTTCGAGCCTCACTGGGGCAGTCATTTTTGAAGAAAATGTTTTTTTTGGCGAGCTGTTGCCATCAGAAGCATCATACTACCGCACATGTGCTGGTCACCTAATATAGATTCAAGCTGAATTTCGGGGAAGGAATTGAATCCAATTTTCGGGCAATGCGTACTGTACTCATATGTACAAAGAGAAACAAGAACTAGGATTATCGTAACGAGTCCGGAGAAAATTTCTATAGTCATAACTACAGCGATGAAAAAGGGTCGTTCCTTGTCCCCTCTTTTTGCTGTAGATTAATACTTTAGTAGTCATTCTGCTGTTCACCAAGAGATAGATAGAAGAGGAAAACAAAACAAACATCTTAATTGATACGTAAAAAAAAGTGGGACCGAGTCCTGATGCAAAGGGAGAAGCATGATGAATGCATAAAGCTCCGATCCATATCCAAGCCAGCCCGATAGGCAGAGAAAGAACCTCCAAAGGACAAGCACCACAACGGCCGACTGCTCCAAAAACCTATTTCCACGCAACCGAACTCCTCGGCGACGCAATCGAAGGCTGCAAAGTCAAACTTTGCGAATAGGCACGCGTCGAAACCGTCGCACTCTGCGGAACATCCAAGAGCACCGTCGGAACCAACTCAAACACATGTTGAGCAATCGCCTTTGTCGAAACTGCTTTATATCCCCCAGGACCAGGTTGAGGATCCGTAACATTCATAACTGCATGAACTTGAGCTTCTTGATTCATTCCATCTGGACCTGTATTTGTAGCGGTATTGGGTGCAGCGTGTCCACGGATACTTGAGCCTACACCACGACCATCCCAGATACATCGGATATCGTGTCCCGGAATGATTTGGGCGAGGCGACCGGTGGCTATGTGACGGATTTCGATGAAGCGACTGTTGAAGAGGAGGACGTAGGGTGGATGGAGGGCAACGCGTTCGACGGTGTTTTCCCATTCGATAGTTGCGGCTGAACGAGTTGGGTCTCCGTGTTTGTCGACGTATAAACCGAATTCTAGCGAGCAAGTATGAGGCGAGTGGGATACGGAGGGAGAGGAAGGACATACCGTCGTAGACGAGAAGGAATTCATCGTCTTTGGAACGGAACATTCCCATTGGTCGACATGCTTCACAACGTTTTGCGAGTGGTCCTAGACGAGGATCTTCGCGGTGAGGAATGGTGACACTGTCAAAGCTATGTGGTTGTATAATGTAAGTCTTTCTTGTCGCTTGACTTAGCGAAGAGATGAACGTACTCTTGCAAATCCATAATCTCGAATCCTTTCACGCATAGAATGGCAATACGGGCTTTGAGGAAAATAAGGTCGAACGTATCCGAAGGGAGGAAGAACTCCCTATAAACACGGAACCATTCTGACTTGGCTGAACGGAAACCCAATCGTGAGCCCAAACCCATGGGTGTCCGACCTCTTTCGTTAATCTTCTCCATCACAGGCTCAAGGACTCGGAAGACACTGTCCAACTAAAGCACTCATAAGTAAACATATAGCACAAAAAAGTATCGCGTACCCCATTTTTCTTCATGTAGGCGATGAGGGTTCGTCCATGAAGCGTTCCCACTGAGAAGAAGTGGACGTCTCGGGATCCGTTCAGCTTTTGCGGTGTCTGTGAGGCTTGGGCGCCTTGAGGTGAAGATGGGACGAGGGCCTCAATGTGGTATGCAAACAATGACTATGCGGATAGGTCAAAATGGTGTTCTGATCAGCAGGATTGTCGTACCTTGTCTGCGAGTACAAGGAAGATACCAAAGTCCTCGAGCATGGCACATTGTGTCACCATCTTCAGGTGCAGTACTCGACGCATAGCTAGGTTGAACAGGTCAGCCACAAGCTAAAATAAGGATAGAAAGCACGTACAATTGGGGTCATGTCGGAATCCGATCCAGACACCTTCTGCACACCCGATAGCCACTAAGCCTCTCCCGTCCCGCATATCTTTATACCACGATCAAAAAATAGTTGTGATCGCAAAGGATTGGACTCACTGAACGGGACTGAACATGTAACTTTCCCCGTCAAAGCCGCACTTTGATTCCAAGTCTGATTATGGTTGGCCGTAGGGTTACCGGAAACGAGGAAAGTGTCTGCGCTGAGTGTCTCAACGGTGAACACTCTGTTGGAATCTTGGACGACCATTCTGGTTCCTACGGCTTCCTGTAGGGCCTTCTTCCAATCATCACGACTTTGGGCTGATTCGGCATACAGGATACATGTGCCTCCGAGTCGTCCGTTGTGATGCAGTGTGAAAGGATATACGGATCGTGGATCAACGGCGCTTTCAGGGGATTGTGCCGCATTAGATGACGATCCTGGTGTGAATGTCTTTAGAATTCCAGCACTTCGTTGTGTTGGTGGGTCGGTGAAGTTGACGAGGGTTAGTAATTCAAGCGGAATCGGCTGCAAGAGATATGAGATAGATTCTAGAATCGAGCACAAGACTTGCCCTTCGATTGACATGATACTTCGTTACGCTCTCTTTTTCTTTCGGTTTTGTCATAACCACTGTGAAAGGATATCAGTTTTGACGAAAGACCCACAATTTCAAAACGTACGATAATTATCAAAGAGAAGAACGTATAGTTCACTCCAACCGAACATTTCCAGACCGCTTTCCGGTTGACGAAGGAGTTTTCCAGAGAACTTCAAAGAACGACTTTCGTCAAGTAGATCCATGTCCTGCAAAACCAATGAGCTCATCTTCCCTCCACATGACACTCTACTTACCACATATTCTCCGGGTTTATAAACCAGACTTCCGTTGTATCGCCAGAGCTCGACTTTCTCTTTAGCTGTCTGTACTCCTGGTTCTGTTTCCTTTCCGAGTGCTTTGATAACATCGACGACGTGAGGGATCGCTTCATGGTCTTCATGCCCTTCGGGACTCTCCTCCATGATACCCTTTAGCAGGAGCTCATAACGAAGCAACCTTGGAATAGGACGATTGATGAAATTTTTCATATCCAACCGATGGGCATCCGGGTGTCGTACACATTGCTGAAGTCAATGTTAGCATGACCTGAGAAGAGGAACAATGCAAACGTAGCTTACATCAACGAACGCTTTGAATGGTGGGCTGTTCGCCATCTCATCATCGATGCGGTAAGCTGCAATTGGATAGTTCGGGATGTACTGCAGATACGCGTCTCTGAAATTCAAGGCAGCGTCAAACACAGCAGCAGTGATACTATTGATGACCGGATGCTCTTCTCGCTGAATTGCGTGGAACTTCTCAACAAGGTTGCGGTGGTGGTGGAAGAGCTCGGTAAAGTTGTTGAAGACCTCGTGGATAAACTGTTCCAGCTTGCTTGGTTCGATAATAGGTGGGTTTGCGTCTCGAAGCGGGATAATATACATCTACCAAATTTTTAGTGATGGACAGCTCGAAAAACCAGACCATACATACAGCCTCAATATTTTCCAGATCCTTAACATAGGCCATTTCACCCTTGATGAGTTCGAATATGATGCTAGGAAGAAAGGTTCAGTAACTAGGCTGAACGAAGCGGGTGTGTGCATTACCTTTGCCTTTTAGCTTCCTTTTTTGATAACGTCTTAGCAAACTCTGGGTCGACGAGATCGTACCATTCCCATTTGCCCGTTGGTCCCTTTCCCATTGCTATCTGGAACGTCCGCAACTGGGCGCTGGATTGAAGGTTCTTCATAGCCTCAACGGCCTCCTTCAGGAAGCCAGAATCCGGGTTCCCTTCATCAGTCTCATTCATGACGGCCTCGAGTAAAACTGGATATTTCTGAAGGTGCTCAGAAGGTCGATTCAGGAAGTGCTTCAGGTCCAATCGGACAGCATCCCCCTGACGAGCAGATTGTCTCGAGCATTGCTAATATTGAAGGGTCAGCACAAAAATCACGATGAGGCACGCGTGACATTACCTCAAGGAAAAGGCGGAAAGCAGGATTACTATCCATTTCATCCTTCATCCTTTTCTCTGCAGCTGGGTGTTGAGCAATGTAAAAGGGATAGGCTAATCGGAACTCCACTGCAGCATCCAAGAATACATCTCCAATACGTTGGATAACAGGTGCTTGCTCGCGCTGTCGAACGTAGAGGACTTCCAACAGGTGGCGATTGCATTCCCGCAAGTCCAGAATATTGCCGAAAACTTCGTCAATGAACTCCTCCAATTTATTCAAGGGGCTGATGATAGCGGGATTGGCATTTCGGAGTGGTTTGAGGAAGATTGTCTCAATTATATCGATGTCCTGAAGGTACTGTTCTTCTTTGGTGATCAGCTTGTGGATGATACTTTTTAAGACAGGTCAACAAGGGAAACGAGATGGACAATTGAAGGCGTACGTCTGGCGATTTATTTCACTTTCAGGTAAGGTGTTTAGGACAGCGTCTTCAACCGTTTCGGACCATGCCGTCTTGGCTTGAGCCGGGGCCTCGGTCGTAGGTTGAAGAGTAATGATAGAATTACCCTGTTAAAAGTGAGACCATGCGAAGACACAAGATAGTGAAGTGCTACCTTTCGTGGACAAGCGTATGCATAGCAGGGTACTCCGTCGGCACAACTCGCCGAATAGCATCGGGTAAGCATTGTCACCACACCCGTCGGGAGCTCTTCTCGTTCCCCAGTGCCTTCATTGTCATCCAAGAACATATAAACGTCTTCCACTCCATCTTGCAACACCCGACCGCCCCATTCCACCTCGTAAAAGAATAGTTGGCTTTGGAGACTACGAGCTACGTGTAGAGCCGTTCGCCGGTCATTTGTCGATATTCCATGGTTTATAGCCAACTCCCGTTGGATCAGAGATTGGATGGTGGACTGCAAAAAAGTGAGATGTCAAACAACAAATGATGTGTTAATCATACCACTATATCTTTCCCAGTAAAGGCACGAGGGTAGGGGATGCTACCTTTGGTGTGTGTTCCACGAGGGACTTTGTCGCGTAATTGGACAGCGATATGGGATAACAGTGATAGATTGATGAAGCGATGCGGATCTTCTTCGTCTTCATCTTCCCAAAACTCTTCTTGCTG